CAACTGCAATCACTACAACATTTCCTGTTGAGTCAAGCCTAAGCTTTTCCAGGGCATTAATACGAGTGATCTAATAGTTGAAACTTGAGATGGAAGTTCTTGCTTTCTTCATCCGACATGACAGCCCAAATGCAATTTATGCGAGAGGAGCTTCTCCATATGGTGCTTCGGGTGGTATTTCAGATATTTTTAATACTTCTGTAGGCAAGTTAAAAACAATCTTGTCAGTCTGCAAACATTTTACCAGCCTCTGCAATGTTCACCTACACAGCGCAACATTACAAGTGTAATTTGTCATTTCAAATCCTTTTCGGAATGAGTTGGGGAATAAATATGGATGATGTACCAGAAACGAGTGAGCCCCCTCAATCTGAAATCATTCTTGTGGTCTGGGTAAGTATTTTTCATTGTTATTTAAGTCTCGACTTTTCCACGGCCCAATTTATCTTATCTCAGGCTGGGAAGCCATGGTAAGTGTAGCACAAAGCCTTGTAGGTCCTTGCATGTGTTGCAGAGATTGGCGTTTTGATGCCAGTAAGTATTTTCAGAGCATTTGGGGGTGATGAATAGCTATCAATTGATAGAATGGCATCTATATTAGGATGGATGTGGCAGCAGGCAAGTTGCATTTATCTGGCACTGAGATGAAAAGCTGATTGTACAGGCGAGGGCAAATGAGGTGGAAACATCTTGGAGATTAGGTTTGCTCCCAGCGTCGTACATTTCAGGGGGATGTGATCATTGGTTTCCCATGGGTGGATTTGTCCTCCCATAGGTTATTTGTCTTGGGGTTGGAAAAAACGTACAATCTGTCCTGGTGGATGTCGCATGTATAAATGTGAACAAACGGGACCATTAATACCAGTGGCCTCGTGGAAGGGGCTCTGGGATAGTTTGTCATTCCCCGTCAGTGACAGATGAAGAAACTGAAGTCCGGAGAGGTTAAGGTGAATTTGAGCTGGACCACGTAACTAGTTAGTGGGATAAAATGTTGAACTGTTTCTAGGATTATCTGGTACGCTGTCATATCCTGTGAGAACATAGTCCTTGTCTGTAGGAGAGTCTGGTCTGTTTCCCTGGGAGTGCTCACGGGGATGATCTTCCTATTTCTGTTCCATTTACACCTCCCAGCGTCCACTCTGAGCATCTAGTTCTCATTTTCACTCCGGCTGCTCTTCTGTTGACATCCATACACGGGTTCTACAGATCCCCCTTTCTTGACATCAGCTCTGGGTAAAAAAC